CCGAGCAAAAGGACCCTTCTGCCCACCAACAGGAATGCCTCATTTTCCCCCTCCCTCCCCCCTCCCCCCTCCCTCATGAACCCTGTTGTATTTGTTTGTTGTATTTGTTTGTTGGACTTACCCCAACCCTCTTGTTTTGCAGTTGGTGATGTACATTGGTCAGATGACCAAGGATATCTTGAAGTGGCCCCGCCCCTTCTCCCCTCCTGTTGTGATACTTGAAAAGAGAGTGGTTGCTGAGTATGGGATGCCATCCACCCATGCCATGGGAGCCACTGCCATCTCCTTCACCTTCCTGATCTCCACCATGGACAGATACGAGGTAAGGCACTTCACCCTTCTTCCTCCCTAGCCCAAGAGTTTCCCCACTGTGGTCCTGCCATCAGGAGATCCCTGTAGAATTTTGTCTTTTTAAGATGGGTGGAGGGAATTTGGGGATTGTAAAACCAAGACAAAGAGGAACTGACAGTGCCGGTCATAATTCCTCATAAAAAAGAATAACCATATAATTCAGTGCCCAGATCCGAACACTCTGAGAGGGGCAGTGGGCACCATTCATAGTGATACCAGGACAACTGGCATTACGTGTGGCTGTCCCCGGCGAACCAGGTAGATAGTGTCCCTGCTCAGACTGGTTTCTCACTGAGCTGCCTGACAGGCTAGTAGTTGGGTCCCAACCTCCGCATGGAGCCGGCTGAGGAGCCATTTCATCTCCATAAATGAGCCTCCACGGCCGAGGGGGTCCTGAGCCCCCCTTCACAGCCTCTCCGAGGCCCGCAACTGAAACTTGTCTGTGCCCTGAATTTGCCTCCCAGGATTCTCTGCTTTGGGTCAGGGCTCAGCCGTTCGAGAGGACGGGCGCACCACATTTTTCTAAAAGCACTTCTGAAATGAAACCCTGGATCTGTCCGGATGGTCATAAACCTTGGAAATAAAGAAGTTCACTCACTTTGCTCTCCGCTAAGCTAGCTGCCAGTAAGAGCCCTTCGAGAGGTGCAGGCAGGTGGTGTCACCTAATGAAAAGGCTGACGATTCGGGTCCACTCAGAGGAGCTTCGCGAGGAAGACCAGGCGGTCTGCTTCTGAAACAGTAGCCCTTAAGCACCCTAGGGGGGAACGCACCTGAGCAGATTGAAGGACTGACATCCTCCCTTGGACTGAGGCGGAAACGCCCTGGCTGAGAAGAGGAGGGTGGGGATCTTTGGATTTGAGTTCTGATCTCTTACTTTGAAGGTGCTCAGTGAATGGTGGCCCAGAACTAACATGTATTTACTAGGTTAATGCCCTCCCTGCTTTCTTATGACACTCAGTAGTCTGCTTGGCATGGTCCTGCTTTTGTGAATGAGTGTTATTGAAAGTTCCGCTCTGTCACCAACCCTCATTGTCTGTGTAAATTGTTCCCAGTTACTAACGAGTTTAATCCGTGCAAGTCAACAATTCACGTATTGCTATCTGAAAAGCCAGCATATAGTTGTATATTTGCCTTTTCTCAACAGTGTTTTAAATGCTATACCATTGGCTGTATGAATGGCACTATCAAGAGAATCACCGTATGTCTTAGGGGGGTGATTAATGTTCTTTATCACAAAATGATAATGATGTCTCTAAAGTGAACCAAAGACTTATATAAACCATAGATATACGAATGGATTTTGAGCTTTCACCAACCTAGCCCCAATCTAAGAACAATTCGTTCTTTTGGGCCCTACTTAATATTCCCACATAAAAAGATCACTGAAGATACGGCGTTTCAGCAAACTGTGGGGAAGAAACCAGACGGTGCCCAGCTATCAGAAAGAAAAGCATTTGGGATCTGAAAGGCTTGTCTTCAAACAAGCAGCCATCTAATTGAGGCAACAACCAAGTTCACATGGAAGAAGCAGGGCGGCCTTTATTATCCAAGGATTGTAAACAATTAAATTCAAATCCAAAGGAGAGAACAATATCAGAGCTTAAACTCTGAACACCTGGTGTGTAGAAGGCTGTGAATGACAGTAGAAGCCCAAAATCCATGTGCAGGGTCGCACACATGGATTAAGCCTCCGATGAGCACCCTCTGACTATAGTCCAGAGGTGTGAATAGCCTTGC